CCGGCGCTGCACGGCGAAGGGGGGGGGGGGGTGGGGCGGGACGGCGCAGGCAGCGCGGGGGCCGAGCGCAGGCTCCCTACTGCCCCTGCCTGGCGCTCGGCGGCGGCCCGGCTGCGGCCGCTGCTGTGACGTGTGTGGCGGAGCGGACAGAAGCGGGAGCGGGGGAAGAGAAAGAAGTCGGGGAAAAGGAGAAGAGAGGAAAGCAAAAAAGAGAGAAGAGAGCGGGGACGGGCAGGGTGGGTGGGGGGGCGGGCGGGCGTCTCGGCTCCTCGCTTCTCTCCCCGTCCCCTGTCCGGGCCCCTGGGTCTCTCTGCGCTGCCCTCCCCCGGCTCGCCCCGTCCGGCTCGGCCTCTCGGTATCGCTCCCTCCCTCAAGTCGCTCACACACAAACAAAATGGCGGCTGTTGTTTCTTCACTCTCCCGAGTCCTCGGAGGGAAGCAAACGGCGGCGGCCGGAAATGAGCCAAGAGGAAAAGGGGGCGGGGGCAAGCCTAGGGGCGGGGCGGGGCCCGGCGGGGCTGGCGCACACAATGGAAAGCGGGGGGGTAGCCTACCGCCGGGCGGGCGGCGGGGGGGGGGGGGGGGTTAGGCTTCTGGAACCGCCCACCGCCGTCACGAGACTGCGCCATTCCAATCAGCGCCCCGCGTGTGCCCGGGCTCTTCCGCAAACTCCCCTGGCCCCGCCCCTTAAGGCGAAACGGGGTTTAAGTAGTGGAAAAGGGGCTCCGTCTTCCTCCTTCGTCCTCCGCCTTTTTCTGTCGGCCGAAAAGTGCCGGACTGGGGGGGGGCCGCGGCCGCCTCACCGCCCGGTACCCACTGCCTGGGGGTCCGGCGGACGGAGCGGGCTTCCGCGGCCCTCCCTCTCTGAAAGGTGCGGGCGCCCGGTCGGTTCCCCGTGGGGCGGGGCGCTCCTCCCGCCGGTGCTGGGCCTTGCTGCGCCACAGACATGGCAGGTCTGTCAGGCCCCGAGGCAGCGCGGCCTACCCCCTTCACACCCCACCCCTCCCAACCCCCCTGTCCCTGTCCTCGGCCTGGGTGAAGAGGGGGTGAGGCGCAGCATCCCCATCCTCCGGCAACCAGGCGGCGGCCATACGGACCCGCAGCTGCCGCCGGGCGGTGAATGCACGAAACCCAGAGGCACCCTGCGTACTGCTTCACTCGGGATGGGAGAGCTGCCGCGGGTTTCCATCTGCGTTATAAAAGATAAATGAAAGCCACACCACCACCACCCCCAGTTTATGCCATAAACCCACAAACCCCACGCTTAATGACATACCCTCCTGGGGAAGAAAGCAGGAGGTATTATGTGGTATAGCAATGTCCTGAAACCGGGCCCGTGCACCTGAAGCTGGGCATAGGCTGACCCTTAGGCTGCAGGTAGGGACAGGTAATATTCGCATGGTCCTTCAAAAAGCCTTCACAGCCTTTAAGCCTTTTCAGAGCTTAGTGAGCATTACTGACCCACCAAGAGTTTTCCTCAAATCTTTAAGGACTGGTCAGTGAGGAAATACCTCATCCCGGCTTTTCCCTTTGGTGTGTTTGGGCTCTATCAGGCCATACACCATCACAAAATAGGAATGGAAGGGAGATGCAGGCCTGTGTATGCGTCTAATGGAAAAAGCAGGATATTTGCCCACCCTCAGGGCTGAGCTCTACACAATCCTGTGTGTAAGAACCAAAGCAGGTATTTGGGAAGAATCTAGCCTAAACAGCAGGATAAATGCACATTGAGAGAAGGCAGGAGCAGAGGTTAACAGCCCTCTAACAGCTATCCACCAGCTCCTTCACATACTCCCACCCTTCAGCTTCCCTTGTTTGGGCTTTATTTCAAGCAAGATTCTTGTGTCCCCCAGCACAAAAGGGAAAATACAAATAGGGTTACAGTCAAACAGCTGCAAAAGTGCTTAAAGATTGTACATGCATTAGCCTGCTGGAGAACTCATGGAGCCATAGGTAGTGTGCAAATCTGTATTTTTTAGAAGAGAGGAGGAGGGAGCCTTGAAAGAACAAACAAGCAATAGGAAAATAGTCTGGAGAGCAGAAAGTTTCAGAATTAAGGCTATCAGGGCTTGCAGCATCAAAACCAACAGTGTCACCTTAGAAACAATGTTACGGTTCTCACAGGATTTTTGCTTCTTATTGCTACTTAAATCCCACCAAATATTCCAGTTATATAAGTCTTATATTACCTCAATTTATTTATTTTGTCAGATTGACTTCCCCTTGCTTGTGAAGCACTTTTTTAAACACAGCTGAGACTAACTTTAAGTCTCCTTAGAATTAAAAGTTGACTGAACTAAGTCTATATAAGGTTTTCAGACTTTCTAGAGGCCCTTAATCCACCGTTCAATAAGGAATTAGTGCCAGCTTTATAAAGTCACCAAGGTGCCCATAAACACCTAAATGTCAGGCCCTTACTAAACAACAAGTTTAGAGCAAAGCAGATGTTTCAAATAAGAGTTTCGTGACACTGGTTCCTATCTAGAGACTTAATCCTACCAATAGTTACATGTGTGCTTAGTTTTATATAGCACATAGTTCCACTGAAATCACACTGTACTACTCACCATAGTAAAACTAAGCACATGTGTGCTTGCTGGAGCACAGTCTGAGACATAAATAACTGGTTAGTTATTTGCTACTCCATAGAGTGTCATATGTATCAGTTAGTTTTGTTAAATTCCAGAAAATTCTGACAAACAAATAATGTCCTCAGAGCTTCCCCTCTGCTCTGAGTACTTGTCTATCTACCCTTCAAACAAGTTCAGGAAAGCATATCTTAGCAGTGGGAAACATACTTTGCTAATGCTGCCAAATCAACATATGTCTTCTGAATACAAATTACAGATATAAGCAATTAACTAATATATTAGTAAGACCGTGCCTCTGCCTTACAAGCATCATAACTGGTAGAATATCTTGGTTCTTTACATATTAGAAAACCATATTCAGTTATCCTTCCATATTAGAGACTTAAATGCAAGCTAGAGTATACAGAAAATAAATAGAAAAGAATTCTACTCATATTTTTTCCTAAAAATGAAGGTCATCTAAACAAGAGAAGGAAGACAAAAGAAGGAAAACCCAGGAAAAAAAATAGGATAAATCATGTATATATATGTTAAACAACAAAAAAGAAAACCTCTTCAGCATCTGTTAATTTTTCTAAAAACACTGCTGTTTTCTTAAGTGAACCTTAGTACATACACACAGCCAACTGTTTTTAAATGCTGTCTGCCAAAACAATAACAGACTAAATTACTGGAAAGCAATAATAGAATGCAGAACATACTATGAAGCAAATATGTAAAGCTATACAAATAAAACCCAGGAAAGATTACACTATTAAAAGTAAACCAAAGCTATTTACCCAACAACTGCTCTTCCTTGCCTCAGTTTCTCACTTCTTACAGCAAGAATAGCTGTATTTATCCCTTAAAAATAGTACCTAGAAGAACTGATTAGCTCATTATTGCTAGTAATTACAGCAGTCATTATGTACTTTGAGATAACTGGATGAAAGTACCATAAGTCTGATTAAAATGAGAACCTGCTCAGGAAAGAAGCAAGAAGAGGAAGGCAGGGCCTTGAATTTCTATCATGGGATCTCCTTTGGCCTTAGCTGGTACTTACTGAAATTGGTAAGCATGCCCAGCTGCTTTGAGTGCTACAGGGAGCAAGATACAATCCTCTTGTACTGCAGGGATCAATGTGACACCCAGAGCTCAGCATCCAAGCTTCAGTGAAATGACCAGGCAGAAAAAGAATCATTTCCATCAGCTTGGAGGGAGCAAGGGCTGTGGTCTTTCAATTCCAGCTGCTGGATGGAGAAGCAGTGTGTGATCTCAAAGTCACTCAACCAGTGCCTCTCTGGAAATCACTTATACTAAGTGAAGCTTCTCTGCTCTCCTTCAGCAGGATTTGCCCTGCAGCCCTGTGGCTGTGCAAGCATCTCCGAAAGAGGGGGACTCAGATGTGGGGGGCAGGAGCCGGGGATGGGGCACTCCCATCTTCTGGTCCTGCTTCTGCCTGCAGTTTTCAGCTGTATTATCTTTTTTTCCTCAGCTTCCCAGGGCTGCTGCTTGTGTCTGGCAGGTAATTTCTCCTGTTCCCCAGTTACCTTCTGCCACTGCAGCTCTCCGCTCTCACAGAACCACTCCTGGGGAGCGAAGGAGGAACGACCCCCTTCTCCAAACCAGAGGGGAGATCTGCATGTGGAGGGTCCTTCCTTGCACAGGTCAGAGGGGTGAGGAAATGATTTAAGGCTGCAATTTTTGCAAGTGATGCCAGAGCGCAGCTATATTTTTGGAAAGCAAGAGCCAGCTGTGCTGGAGCAGAGAACATTGCTCAGTGCGGCGTCAACATTAAAACCCAGCAGCGTCTTGATATGAGACAAATTTTATTAAAACCATAAGAAGTAACCAGCCAATAGCTGGTTCTTGCATGTAGCGTATACATAAAAGAAAGGGCTGGCTTTCTGACAGCAAGCAAAATGCTTTCAGTCCTTCTTCCCAGAAACACAGGCTTCCTCAGTCACACAGTGTTCAATAGCTGCAAACACAGAGTTATGTTGCTAAATGTTAAGGGCTCAGCTGTTTACCAGAAGAATGTTTCCTCCCTGGAACACATGGTTTTGCTTAAAAGAAGTTCTCAAAAAAAGACCACTTTATTTCATTAGCAAATGCAACATTATAGTCTTAGCAAACATGCCATCCAGTCTCCCCTTGCAAGAATGAAACAGAGAAAGACAAAAATTGACCTCTCATTATAAGAGAGGGGTAGAGGTACACTCTGCTGAGGAATACCACAGCTTTCAGTCTGGTGAGCTAGAGCCAGATCTCGTGCTCTGAGATGCATGTATCTTCATACAATGTTTTCATATTCCGGTTGATGTTGGAAGTACAAACGTGGAATAGAGCGAGAGGCTTGCGTGCTCTCCCAGCTTTACCAATGACTGGCCAAATTCCTGCCTTTCACTTCCTAGAATCAGCTCTCCCCTCTGTAACAGGGAGGTGATTTCCCCCTTACAGAAAGCACATTTGAATTGTTAAATGAAAATGTAGTACTCTTGTATCTTCTAAATGAAATTACACTGCAATTAATGCATTTACATCAGCACTTGATTTATCCCAGAGTATTACAGGGATGCAAGCAAGAGGTTCTAGAATGAAAGTATATTTTTAAGTAAGAGCCCTTGAACTTGCCACATGTTTTGAGCTTGTAGAGAGTGAAATGATGGCAAATTTCTGAACAACTTGGTCAGGTCAGCACTATATTTACAATGATCTGCTAGAAATGGTCATTGTGAGATGGAGCTCAAGCTAACATGAGAAATCTGTGCTGAAAGAATTAGAGATACTGTAACGACCCAGAGGAAGCATGCTATTCACATTCCTCCTACTTCTTTTGACGCTGGTATCCAATGGGAAAGTTCTTGATAAGCTTTACTGCACTGCAGAAGGTATAAACAATGTGCTTTGAAATCTGGTGAGCTTAAACCCAAAACTTATCTTCTCATTTGTTTCCTGAATTGTCCCACGGATACAAATCCATTGTCAACACATGTGCTTATAAAGAACAGAATATACTTATTTCTGTTGTACCTTCCCTTCCTTTGCTGTTTGTTTTTTACATGGTATTCCTTAATAAATTCTTTTTCATTTGCCAAAACATTATGCTGAACTGCAATGTGACTTTGATGTCTGCAATCAAAATGCAAAAAGGGAAAAAAATAACATTTTTGTCTGATTTATTAGTTTTCATGCTTCAAGATAATAAAGGGATTCGTTGATAGGGTCAGGCAGGAATTTACTCTGTAGCAGAGACGTTTACTGAATCAAGAGGTTTTCAGAACAGAGGGTATTGGCCTGAGAGAGCTAATGGGACCCTGTTGTTCACAGGATAATACATTTAGTTAATCAACACAATCTGAGCTGGTTTTACAGTTGCCATGGAAAAAATTTTTTCCACAAGAAATATAGGTCTAGTTGTCTTTGTTTCTTTTCTTTTCTTCCCCCCCCCCCTTTCTCTAAGAAGATCTTGTACTTTCTTGGCTTTTTGGCATGCCAGAAAAGGCAGTCCCTCCACAACTGTTTTCCTTCTATACCCAGATAAAAGTCAATAATTAACCACAAACACTAAAAGCCAATCCATTCTAAGGTGACAACTCTGCGTAAAACAATAGGGTTAATCCTCGGTTCCTTACCTTCCTAATTTATATGGGCTTAACACTTCTCTTCCCAGAAATTTTTTCATGAACTCTCATGTTTCAATGCCTGTGAGGTTTTTTTTCTCTTGGTCTTTTCTAGCAAGGGACACCAACATCAGGCAGCCCTGGACTTTCTGTTTGCATCCTCTGATTGCCCCATGCACGAGACCTGTGAGCCTTGGAGAAGGGAGCATCAGCCCCTGCTAGTGTTACACTATTAAAACCTGTCAAGAGAACAGCAAGAAGGCAGAATCTGTAATGGGCCCTCTGTACTTTTCCTCCTGGTGCTCTCACACTGTCTGAAGCCCTGGCAAGATAATTTCTGCAGAGCAGGGCTGGTGTATGAGCTGATTCATGAGCCCATTTGTGATATTTTGCGATACTACTCCAATCTCTTTTGCCATCTCAAATGCCTTCCCTTTGATCTCAGGACAGGCATAGGAGAGGGATGCCACAGCACGTTCTCGATTAAATGCATAGAGGTGGACACAGCCTGTCAATGGAATGTCAGGGGAGGGCTGGCTGCCTGGTCCAGTGCACACACTGCAATAAGGATGCAACCGTCTGGGATTAAAGCTTAAAACTTTTGGCATGTCTGGACTGGCCATTAAAAAACTTTCATACACCATCAGACCCCAGTGAGAAGTCAAAGTTGTGGTTGGCACTGTATTTTGGCATCAAGGACTTGTTTGTCTTTTATTAGAGCTAGAGAAACATTTAGGTAACTTTTGGAGGAACATAGAGAGCTTTTCTAGTGATCAGAAAAGTAACCACTTCAAGGCTGACATTACTCCTTATTTGTCAGTATTTATGTGACTGCAAATTGGTTGCTATTTACAAACCAGCTTCACAAAGTGTGAGAGGCACAGTTGACATCACAAAATGACAGAAAGTTTGGTTCTTTCACATTGTGTGATAAGTAAATGTTTTGTGCAGGTGTTGTTTGGGCCCTGCAGGAAGAGGTTTGGCCATGGTCATTCTGTGTGGTGCTGCAGGGCCAAGCACCAAACCCCAGGAGAAGCTTTCCTGGGCAACCAGGGTACTGTGTTCCTCTGGACAAAGGAAAAGCAGTTGTCTCAGCAAGAGAAAAAAGGGTTTTAACATGGACCCCACAACAATGAACAGAAGGAATTCTGCCTGGACATGCTCCTGGCACGCCTCTTGGTGGTGATGTCCCAGGCAGCTGCTCTGGCAAAAAGGATGGTGCTGGTGGGCAAGGGGAGATGCAAACCTTAAACCACCAGAGTGAGTAGCATAGTGAAAAGTCTGTGGCTGGATGTGCCGGTTGTCTTGGCAGCTATGCAGGTGTTTTTTTTCTTATTTGCTTTGCTAGATGTAGGCATCTGAATTCCTACTGAAAAGAAACAGAGGTGCCCGAGGCCTCTTGTGATTTTGCAGTTTGCTGGCTCACGTGTCTTCATATATGTGACACATATATGTGACAGATAAATATGTATAAATACATATGTATATTTATATACCTCAGGGTATAGAAATTAAATGTGTTTTGTTTAAAATATTCAATCCATCCTGACACATTTAGCCCCTGAAAGAAGAATCTTTAAAAATTATTTGCACTGAGGTAAGTGTCTCTCTGTTCACAGAGGAGTACATCAAGACTCCAGGTGAGATGTGTGGAAGATCTCCTGTTCCCATGTGAAGGAGCCAAGCCAAGGGCTAATAAGAGTGGTCTGACGCTACACTATGAAGGGCGAGTGCATCTGTGCTTGTGTAGGAGTATCCCATATTGGTGCAAAATGGGCCCTTGGATTCCTCCGTCCCTCCTGGGTATTTCAATTAAAAGCTGAGGAAGAAATCCAAGAAAATGCCTAAAATGGCTTGAGTCCTTCCTCATGATCTGGAAATGGAAGTCGGCGGTGACTAACTACAGCCCAGCCACCAAACCCCTCCCTCCCCGACTCTGCATCGCTCCATTCGTTCCCAGCTCCTCTCCTGCCTTTGCAGTCGCAGTGGAAACAGTGAAGCAGCCTGGCTTCGAGTGCCAGGAGCGCACGAGCAGTGTGCGACTGCAGCAGTGACTGTCACCCACCCGTCCCGGTGCCTAACCTAGGCAGAAGTGATCAAAATCTGACAGGAACAAGTCTTGATTATAAGCAGAGGAATGATTTTAAAAGAGGCTGCTGCCAAGCCTGGAAA